GAACAGATTCTTCCAATTTCCCTCACATATCAAATTGTACAACTCCATGATTAATCCCCCCCCCATCCTGCACATCCTTATTCTTCTGCTTCCACCCTCATCCTCTCCCATGGATCCTTATACTCATTCTGCAATAATGGTTTTATACAATATTTGTCCTTGTGGGACTGAGTTAGTTCACTCAGCATATTGCTCTACATTCCATCCCAAGTTAAATAATAATTTACAAAATCATTGCTACTGTATGCTGCATAGTATCCCATTGTGTGAATGTACCATAATGTCTCAATCCATTCATTTGTGAATGGACATTTGGACTGTTTCCATGTTCTTGCAATAGTGAATAACCCTGCTATGAACATTGGTACAAGTCTCCCTTTGTGCCTAAGTTCTCATTTTCTCAGGGTATATTCTAAGTAGTGGAATAGCTGAGTCATATGGAATTTCTATGCTCAGCTTTTGAGGAAGTGTCAAACTTTCCTCCAGAAGAGTTGCACCATTTTACAATCCCACCAACAATGTATAAGAATTCTTTTCACAGCACATCCTCTCCAACATTTATTACTTGCTGCCCTGTTAAATTTTGCCACTGCTACTGGAGTGAGATGGTACCACATCGTGGTTTTTATTTGTATTTCTCTTATTGTCAGTGATTTAGAGCATTTCTTCATGTGTCTGCTTTTTGCCATTCAGATATCTTACTCTGTGAAAATTCTTTCCATGTCTTTTGCCCACTTTGTAATTTGATTATCAGTCTTTTTCTTGTGGAGGCCCAGGAATATTCTGTAAACTTTCATCATGAGACTCTTATCGGAGAACCAATTCCTTTTGTTACAGCAACTCTGTGAATTTTTTTCCATCTTCTTTAAATACTCCTTGTATCGTTTACTAGTTTGAACAGAGAATCTTTTAGTATTGCGGTCTTTGCAGATTTTGTTATAATACTTCGCTTTTAATTTTTTGAACAACCATGTAAAAGTTTTCTGTTACACTTTCCAATGAGAGTAACTCTGCTATCCCAAAGATGGTGACTCTCCAACAAGAAGACTCTTACAAAATCTTTCTTGTATGTGTATGAATTAAGTATGCCATCACTGACAGCACTGTGTTTCAGAATAGATCCTGAAATGCTGTTTTTGACAATGAATGCAACACCATTATTTTTCTGTACATCATTCTTGGCATAGAATGTTTCTATAATTCAAAATTCTGTGAATTTTGTGGTTTAGAATGATCAATATCAGTTCATCTCAGCTCTCAATGTCTGAGATGTCAATCTTTATACATTTGTTTCATTTTTACTAATATTCAATTTTCCTAGATTTGTACTACATCCATTCCATATTCCAGTCATTAATAGATATTTTTGGAAGCAGGAGTGGCATCCACTTGCTAAACAACATGCTTTTAGAAACTCTATGAAATTTGATAAATATTGATAGTTGTAGAGGGGCTTCAGGCCTTTTGTTCATAGAGTCACTATGAGCCGTGCTTGATTCAAAGGCAATCAACAAGAACAATAGACATTAACATCTGTTTCTCTTTATTTTCAGTCTAGCCATATCAGCAAGTGAAGGCCCTTCATTGAGTAAAAGTCTTATTCCATCACAATATTAAGGCAAACTTTACTTTGAGTCTCTGGAACTCTTCTCCAGACACAGTGTGCCTTCAGACTCGAGGAGCACTATAGCACTATAACCACAAAGTTACTAAGTTATTCATAGGGTTTTTGAGGGCCTGCTATTTCAGAAGTGGATGAACAGTCCTGCTTCTCAGTCTATTTTAATTTGGAAACTCTGCTGAAACGTACTCACCATAGGTGACCCTGCTACTGTTTGAAATAACACTGGCATAATTTCCAATATAACAGCAAAAAAGGATGAGTAGTGGGCACAAAAGTTTATTTTAGTCATTGACAGAGCAAATGACAAGGTTGTGGAATAAGTAAGAAAAGTATGGCCTGTTTGATAAACTGGAGAAAGTACAAGGTAAACAGAAGAAGGAGAATTATGGGAGAGACAAGGCTTTATGACCTGAAGTGAAGGAGCTCGAGAGTTTCCTAGATTATGCTCTTGCTGAACAGATCGAGGATATGGTCTCCTCATAAATTCTAAGTTTAAAAGACTCCTCAAAACTCTATGAAAGTCCCTCAGGATAATACTCTTGGGCCTCTCATCTTTACCTCAGTCCTTAGTAGAACCCAAAACTCCACTCATCCTTCAATATCTTCATTTTCATTATGTTTTCATAATCTAGAAATCTGGTCCAATCTTGTACCTTTTTCCTTACCCTACTATAATAATCTCTGATACCCCTTTATAAGGCACATGGTTGTATGGGAGTATATAAAAAGAACGTATCAATTGTGAGACTATCAAAAAGTCATTGTCATGTGCCATCTAGTTGACTATAATTCACAGCTGTTCTTTGAACAACACACCTGAACCTTAATCTATCCTGTGCCATCCTTATCATCTCCAACAAACTCAAACCCGTTGTTACAGGCACTGTGTCAATTCATCTTGTTGAGACTCTTCCTCTCTTTTGCTGACATTCCACCCACACCCTCCTGCCTCCATCAGCATTGCCTTTTCCAAAGACTAACCCCTCCTGACAATCTGTCTAAAGTAGCAAGTAATGTTCTAACAACTAATATACTTTCTATTTGCTTTCTGTGGAATATGGTATTTTCTTTTCAACTTTATATTCTAGATATTGCTAATTAATGTATTTCTATTAATGTATTTAATGTATGATGTAGTAATTATGGTATTTAAATTTTGGGGTTTTTTTCTTCTGTGCATTATTTAGTGTAAACATATATATATGTGTTTGTGTGTATGTATGTATATATATGTGTGTTGTGTGTATAGATAGATGATAGAGATAGAGAGATAGATAGATAGAGAGATTGTCTTTGCCGAATCTGTGTAGAGGCAGTCGTCAGAACAGAGCAGGGAAACACTGCATGGTTCAAAATTGGGAAAGGTGTATGCCAGGGATGTGTCTTATCTCCATACCTTTTCAACCTGTATGCAGAACAGATTATCCAGGAGGCTGGGCTCTATGAGGAGAGGTGTGGCATCAGGATTGGTGGAAGATCTATCAACAATCTATGTTATGCAGATGACGCAGCCCTACTTGCTGAAACTGAGGAGGACCTAAAGCACTTGCTGTAGAGGGTCAAGGACTGCAGCCTCCAATATGGATTGAGGCTCAATGCCAAGAAGACAAAGATTCTCACTACTGGACAAATTGGTAGCATCAGGATGGATGGTGAAGAAATTGAGATTGTTAACAACTTTAGTCTGCTTGGCTCCATGGTCAATACTCTTGACACCAGCAGCCATGAAATCAAAAAACGTATTGTGATGGGAAAGTCTGCTGTTAGGGACCTCTCCAGGGTCCTGAAGAGCAATGGTTTCTCTCTGGAAACTAAGGTGCATATGATACAGGCCATAGTCTTTGCAATCACTTGTTATGCATCAGCGAGTTGGACAATGACTAGGGAGGATAAAAGGAGAATTGATGCCTTTGAACTGTGGTGCTGGAGAAGAGTATTGAGGGTACCATGGACTGCCAAGAAAACAAACAGATTCATCCTGGAAAGGGTTAAACCAGGCTGCTCCTTGGAGGCAAGGATTCTGAGGCTTCGTCTGACATACTTTGGACATGTTGTAAGGAGGGACATGTCCTTTGATATGGATATCATGCTTGGTAGGGTGGAGGGACAGCACAGGAGGGGAAGGCCCTCTATGAGGTGGATTGATTCAGTGACTGGGGTAATCAGGATGGGAGTGTCAGAGACAGTGTGATTGGCACAGGACAGAGCAGGCTTTAAGGCTGTTGTACATAGGGTCACTATGAGTCACAAGTGACTTGATGGCACAAAACAGCAACAACGTGTGTAGTTTTCTCCGTGTGTGTGTGTGTGTGTGTGTGTGTGTGTGTGTGTGTAATTAATATTTTAGCAGACATTTTATCTTTTTTTGACATATCTGCATATCACTAATACTCTTGCTTTAAAAATATTTTTAAATCCTCCTTATGTTATTTCTTCTGTCTCTCTACAAGCACAATTTTCATTTGTTTTCCTGTTGGAAATATGTTGCTTAAAAAAGGAAAATAACACTTGGGGGGGGTTCCTATTCTTAAATTACATAGTTTATAAATGAGATATAAATCTTTCCTTCAATGGCTTCCACAATTTAATTTTCTACATTCCAGAATAATGTTTCCATTAGTCAACAACATTTAATTAAAAACTCCAACTTCTACACATTGCATTTATTTCATTCCTCTTATTAATTTACAGAATAATTAAAAGACCTAGTTGATCACAAGGAAATTATTATCACAGTTCAGTAGTGGGGAAGAAAATAGAAACCATTGCAATTACAGTAGCTTTTCATCCTTTATCTATCTTCTTAGCAAATAAATATTTTTTTACTCTCCTAATGTGATTCAAGTATTATAGAAATTAAACAATACATAAGACAACCAAAATTCTCTAACTTGTGCTGTTGATTTACAACACTAAAATATAATAGACATGAATTAAAGAGAATTTGTATGAATGATTATATACACAGTAATATAAATATGTTAAAAAATTAAGAAACAAATGAAAACATGTTTTGAACATAGATAAACACAATATTAGTATTTTCAGGGACCTGTCCCATAAAATCTCCTTATTTCTGAGAAAATTAAAATACTAGTTCAGGAAACATGTGTATTTACAATGAATGTGTGTCCATATTAAGTTAAGGTTCTCATTAATATCCTAAGATAACCCTGGAATTACTTCACCAAAATCCCGTAAGACTAAATTCGGAAGACATTTGACAGGCTCAAGGTAACTTTTGGATCAGGTTAATTTTGAGGTTGAAGATCTATCTAGTTTTATCATGTTTCAAAGAACTATGGAAGGAAATGGGATTAGAAATTATACTGCTTTGTTATTCTTTCTAAAATCATAAGGGCTTTTGTCTTCTTAGAATTTAGATTACGCCCAACTCCTCTCTCCCTGACTGAGATCCTGTTTATCATCTTGGGGACTATCCTTTTTCTTGCCGTTATCATCCTGGGAACTAAGATTCATAAATGGAGAATGGAGAGAAAAGGTGAGACTTATTAATGCCAAATAAACTGAAAGTATAAGGAAAGAATAATGGACAAGTCATAATATTGAGAAAAATACCCAAGTTCATCTTTGTCTTCATCATCTAACAAAACTCTACTTTTAGTAAGATAGAGTGCAATGTTTGTATAATTGATTTCCTGGTCCTGAATTTGGAACGGAGACTTTAGATGTATAGACATTTTCTTGTGTGAACATTTTCTATAGAGACTGAGTATGAGGTGAAGATCAGAACCAGGAAACAGTTCTAGTACAAGACGGCACAGCCCACATTGTTTCTCCAAGGGTGAACACTGGGGAAAATGCATGGCTTTGTCGATGAGTAGGAGGAATATATGTAACGATGGTCTCTAAACTCATACTCTGATGTTATTTCCCCAGCCTTATCCAGTTATAAAGATGCTCTCGATAAGACAATATATGAAGATATTGATTACAATGCATATGAAGATATTGATTACATTGTAAAGCCAGAGAAGGAGGATCTTTTGGACAGCTCAGGTATACATCCTATGTCCTCCCCCTCTGGTCCTTGATTGATTTTGGTTTGAGGTATCCTCAACAAGCACAGACTTTACCATGAATGCATCCTGAAATGATAATATCTTTCTCTTTCAAAGACCTCAAAGACTTCTCTCTACTAGTAGTATTCAAGATTTCTTCTGAATGTGATCCTTCTACTTTGGGAAAGTTTTGCACTTTGGGTTATTTTTCTCCATGTCAGAAAACCAGTCAGTGAATAAGCTTCCATGTTTCATAGAGCACAAGAGAAAGATGAAGCCTGTCCTTGGACTGTGGGAATGTGGAAAATAAATCCTTTTAAGAAGAATATTCCTCTAGAATTAAGATAAGGAGGGTGTCTTCTCTACAAATATCAACAACTTCTCTCTCTTACACTCTCTCTCTTACACGTTCTCTCTCGCTCTATCCCCCTCCCCCCATTCTTTAATTCTTTTATCTCAGAAAGGAAAAGAACAAGCTTAACTCTTAGTATTCATAGTTCTTTCTACTCAGGCACAGGGATGCATGTTCTGTATTCATAGAGGGTCAAAGGCTATGTTTTTAAAAATAACATTCAAAACAAATAATTGCAAAGTTTCTTAGGATGAAGAACAATGGGAAATATGACAATGATTTATTATTTTTACTATTTTGTGTTTATATGTATATTAAGAAAAAATAAGATTTTATTTTGAAAAGCACTAGCATAAATATAGTGGAGAATGTTGTACTCATAAATGATACAGGCTTATGATTTGCATGAGGCCAAAGAGGGAGATTGATATAATACAGTGCTTAAGTACTAGGCTATGAACCAAAAGATTTGAACACCAAAATCTATTGAAAACCACAGAAGTCTTAAAGATAAAAGATGTGGTAATCTGTTCCCATTAGAAATCAGTCAAGAAATCCTATAGAGAGTTGGCCCTTTTTTCTTTTCTTTTTATTGTAATGTGATTGAAAATTTAAAAGGCTAATTAGTTTCATATTTAACAATTCGTATGCATTATTTTTATGATAAAATACACACAATGTAACTTGCACTCTTCACACTTCTTATTTTTGATTCTTTTCTCTTTTATCCTTTTCCCCTGCCCTCACCAGCCTTCTGAGCATCTTCAGGCATATTTTGCTCTTGATATCCTAATGTTCTAGAGAGTGAGAGCCTCTATGACTACCTGATAAAACTGTCTATTGTTTGGCTGAAAGTTGAGCCACAGGGGTGAGGTTTTGTAGAGTTACTAGTGGTATCATCTCGGATGTTCCACCACGCTCCATCAGGCCAGTAAACCTAGCCATTTTTATTTTTTTTTTTCTCTTGTCTCACATTTTTCTCTCACACAAACCAGGTCCTCCTTCTTTATCCCTTTAGGGTGTTCAGCAATAGCACCAGGCTCCACCTAGTTCTCCTGAACTCACGAAGGTTGTGATTCATGTGGCCCAATAGTACTTGTTGTTAGGTGCCATAGAGTCAAATATGACTCAGCAACTCTGAACAACAGATCTGAATTTTCTTATCCTGTGTCATCTTCACACTTCCTAGACACACTAGAACCCATTGCATCAGTAACCATGTCAATCCACTTGATCAAGGGTCTTCCTCTCCTTTGCAGACCATTCACCCTTTGAAACATCATATCCTTTTCAAAGGAACAGCCCCTGCTAGCAACATGCCCAAAATATGTGAGGCTAAGCCTCATCACTCTTTCCTCCAAAGAGAACTCAAGTTGCACTCTCTCCAAGACATATTTCTTTGTTCTTTTGACCTTCCATGGGATATTCAGTGCTCTTCCTTAACACCACAGCTCAAAGGCATCAATGCTTTTTCTGTCATCCTTATTCATTGTCCAACTCTCAGATGCATAGCAATTGTTCAGAAAGACCAGGGCCTGAATCAGACACACCTTAGTCCTCAAACTGACATTATTACTCCTCAATACTTTGGTTAGGTCTCTAACTACAGACTACCCCAGTGCAGTATGTCTCCTTATTTCCTGATTGCTGGTACCAAGCATGTTAATTGAGGATCCAAGTATGATAAAGTTGTTGAAAGTTTCAATCTGTTCTCCATATATCATGATGTTGCCTATAGTTCCAGTGGTAAGAATCTTTGTTTTCTTGACATTGAAATGCAATCCATACTGAAAGTTGAACTTGCATTACCTGTTCTTCTTCAAATCCTCTTCACTTTCAGCAAGCAAGGCTGTGTCATCTGCATAACTCAGGTTTACTGATGAGTCTCCCTCTGCTCCTGCTGTCACATTCCTCTTCATCATAGATTCCAGCTTCTTGAATAATTTTCTCACCATTCATTGACTATGCAAAGACTTTTGACTGTGTGGATCACC